TGTTTAGCGTTGGTTTCAGTTCTTTGATAAAAAAAACATTTCAAAAATAAGGCAGTCAAATTTTGCTCACTTGAAAATGACCTCGGAGAGGTCGAAACGTCGTGACTTTTTAGCGCTGGCTTTTCTTTCAGAACTGATCAAAACACTGAATTTAAGCGAAGCAATTTCTTTACCTGGTATCATTTGACGAAATAGCTTCATGGAATTACCTGCTAATAGGGTAAAAAGCTTGATGTATGTATGTAAATATGTAAAAAATGTAAAAATGGAGGTGGTTTCTTTCGTCATTTATTGAGGGCCATACTAAACACTCATGCAAGCAATGTTGCAGTTATTGAAAGCCTCATTTGACGATAAAGCGCATTTCAGTATATGATATCAAGAATTTTTATCCTTTTACGTAATAAATTCCAACCTGTGATTCAAAGAACAGTTATTAATGGTCGAGGTTGTGGAGACTCGCATAAGCAATGTTCGTGAAATACGATCTTGCATCCGGAGTCGACTGTCATGATGTGCACCGACAAAACACAAATGCTACCACTAAAGTTAATTTCAAAGGCGCAGAGCGGAATCAAAATAACAAAAATATTTCATTCAAGACTAATAGAAGCAATCGATAAAAGGAATTATTGCTATCAAGCACGAGAAATGATCACGAAAAGTAACATACCCGGTAAGTGTGGTTTCTCAAGGGGGCGCTGTCTTCAGCTGATTTGAATCTTCGATGACTATGGACACTCGATGAATACTGTAAGGCGCCGTTTTGTTTAACCAGAAAAAAAGAGAGAAACAGAGGGCGCGGTGCTTGCTGGTTAGATGTTGAAATGCCGATTGCTTTACAAAGCGTTTTCCGCGCAGGAGTGAAAGAAAAGATAACGGCAACAAAATCAGTCAGGCGCAGGAGATCTAGTACCCAGTACCCTTCCAGGGAAATGCGCGCGCAACTGTTTCAACTTTCTACAGAAACGCTTCTAGATCTGTGGAAGGGTCACTCAAGGGTCAAATTTAATAAATTTATCAGTCATCTGGTGGTCTGGGACTCACTCTCTTGGGCCTGGGACTCAGTTTGCTGGCTGTGTGAGTCTCAGGCTTACTAGAGTCTTATTTCTAGATACATCATTGTTCCACGCGAAGCGAGGCCGGAGGCCCAATGAGCAAGGTTTACGGTCAAGTTTCTTGTAGCGTTTACGGATATGACTTTAAGCTGCAAGAGTAAAGGAAAATTTTTATATGACACGATTTTAGGCCCCCTCGAGAGCATAATGAACATCAAATAACCCTTCTTAAGATTTACATTTAATCGTGCCTGATGAAGTTCGGTGGAACGGAACGAAATATTCCAGTTTTAATAACATTTTTTTAATT